CGGACAGAAATGAATTCAATTTAATCTATTATATAACTAATAATAGTAAGATAAATTACTATAATATCAATAATATTATATAATTACATACTATTATTACTTAGTAATTAGACTGACATACATATTTTACAGTATCATTTAGATTATTGATTATGTATCTCAATGTGACATCCGCACCGATTATAAATTATAATTTATATTCTAGTATTTGAGGAATATGATTTGTCTACGTGGTACGTTCATACTCTAATAGTATTATCATTATATTTATAATCATACTGCTTAAATATTATTGTTTCGACGTTCAAATATATTTTTTAAATCGTTAACAGTGACCAAACCATTGCACCTATATCTATACATAAACGGCAAACATGTTTCAAGGACAACTCGCACAATAAACAGTATAAACTAGTCGTAATTATAAATAAATAAACAACTTTTCAGTAACAAATAGTGTTTTTACTATACATACTAACAATATTATAAATGAATAACAGAGTTGTATATCTGTGATACCAAAACACGTATTGTCACAAAAAATTATAATATAAGAGTAATGAGCAGGTATTTTTATTTATATTTAAATTATATTAAAACATGAATAATTTTTAAAAAAATATAGTTTTATTTTATAATATACAATATGTGAAAATACAAAAAAGCCAATGTCAACAATCATAATAATGTACCTACTGGTAACTAATTGACGGACGGACGGACATAAAGGATATAGTGTTCTAAGCTCATATTAAAAAAATTAAAAGCATAAGCATAGCATTGGCATATACACATTAGTACAAATATGCAATAAGAACAAATTGAATCGTAAGTAGTTAAAAGGATGCTACCCACGAGTCTGTTGTCTCCGTCTTACCAACTCACGACATACCTAACAAATTTTCGTTCACTAGTTTGAATAGTGTGCCGTTAGTTTTGACATTAAGGGGATTGCAAACGGACAGTTTTTAAGGAGTTCAGTATAGGCAATAATTTATGTGCGTGCGTGCGAGCTGTACCGGTGTGTGCGTAGTAAATTATTATTAGTTTAGTGACACCACCGACTAGATTGGGAAGCGGCACGAGCGGAAGTTCTGAAAACATATTATTATATTATTTTGTAATACGGGTGATGATAATATCATAATTACACATTTGTTGTATAATGTTCCTAATAAGGAATTTTTAGATTCTGAACGGAGTGATGAATGTATTGATTTTACAATGCAATGATGTGTGTATTCGAAATAATGCTTCGATTTTCAAAAGTAGCATCTTTTCTGAAAGGAAAGTGAATCTAGTTGGT